TTGTATGTGACTATGTATGCTTGCGCGTGTGTGTGTGTGTGTGTGTGTGTGTGTGTGTATGTGTGTGTGTATGTGTGTGCGTATGTGTGTATGTGTGTGTGTGTGTGTATGTGTGTATGTGTGTGTGTGTGTATATGTGTGTGTGTGTGTATGTGTGTGTATGTGTATGTGTGTGTATGTGTATATATGTGTGTGTGTATGTGTGTGTGGGGGGGCACACATGCAGAGGTCAAACATAACTTTGAGGAACTGCTTCTCTCCTTCCACGAGTTCCAAGGCCCAGCTCCCAGGCTTGTGAAGAAGCACTTTAACTCACCAAGCCTCTCTTTGACCCAAGCAGATCTCATGAGCCAGACTTAGAAAATCCTTTTTTCTTTTTTTAATTAATCAAAGGCTTTATATGTTTGGTAAAGCTCAATAACAATATGCCCGTACAAAGAGAGCTGTTTCGCAATTAGCTAACCTAAAAAAAGTAGTTATCTGCAACTGCTCTCCATATCTGCGTGGCTCTCCATTGCTCCTACATCTCTCCTCAGACTTAGAAGATCTTAAAAACAAAGGTGAAGAATTTAAAATATCAGATCTCAAGACAACTTCTGAAGTCATCCAGTCATTTGTGCAAAGATGGCAAAGATATCACTGGAGCAGAAGAGCTACCCATCCACTTCATCACTCTACCACTGAGACACACCCTAACTCAAGACTAGCAGATCAGGACACAGTAAAGATTACTTTGGGTCTGACAGGGATTCATTTTTTTTTTTTTTTTTGAGACAGTTCACTCTGTAGTCCTAGCTAGCCTGAAACTTACTATATAGATTAGGATGGCCTCACCCTGGGAGCTGGGATTAAAGATGTATACTACCAGCCTGGCCTACACAAAATATTCGTTTTTTAATTACTTAGGTGTATGGATGTTATAGAAAGTTATGAGCTGCCATATGGGTGCTGGGAATCAAACCTAGGTCCTCTAGAATATCAGCTAGTGTTCTTAATCACTGAGCTAACTCTCCAGCTCCTACATTAAATATTCTTGGGCTGGAGAGATGGCTCAGTAGTTAATGGCTAGGCTCATAACCAAAACTAAATATTCTTGGAGGGTGAGGAGGAACCAAAATCAACCAATTGAATTACATTAAAATTTAAAACTTTTCCTCATAAAAGGATATTACTGAGTTGGATGCGGTTACACATGTGGAATTCTAGCACTTGAGCGGCTGAGGCAAGATTATCAAATATGTGAGCTATCCCCTAGGTTACATAGCAAGACCTTTATATAAGAATGTATGTAAACATATATGTCTACATATGAGATACTACAGAGAGAAAAGGCAAACACAAGAGTATAAGAACAAATTTCCAGGCTGGAGAGACAGCTCAGTGGGTAAAGTACAAGTGCCTGAGTTCTGGTGCCCGGCACCCAATTAAAGGCCAGGTGTGGCAGCCATAATGCCTGTAATGCTAGTGCTGGGAAAGCCAAACCAAGACAACCCCAGAGGCTCACAAGTCAGCCACTCTGGACAACCAGCAAGCTCTATGTTGAATAAGAGTCTGTCTCAAAATAATAAGGGACCAGACAGATGGCTAAGCAGATGGGTAGGAAGAGTACTTGCTGCTCTTGCACAGGACCAGGTTCAGTTTCCAACACCTCCATGGCAGTTCACAACTGTCTGTAAATCCAGCTCCAGAGAATCCAATTTCTCTTATCTTCATAGGCTCCTGTACCCTACACATACATGGTACACATACATACACTCAGACACATACACATATATGACAAAAATAAATACTAAAAAACTAACGTAGAGTCAAGGAAGACACACAATGCCGGGCGGTGGTGGCGCATACCTTTAATCTCAGCACTTGGGAGGCAGAGGCAGGTGGATTTCTGAGTTCAAGAGTTCGAGGCTAGCCTGGTCTACAGAGTGAGTTCCAGGACAGCCAGGGCTACATAGAGAAACCCTGTCTCGAAAACCCCAAAAAAAAAAAAAAAAAAAAAAAAGGAAGACACACAACATCAAACTCTACCTTCCACACAGATGTGCACACATGACTATGAGCATCTGCACACAAATGTGTGCACATACAGGAACACATACGAATCTGTACACATACATACAAAAATAAATTTTTAAAAAATTTTCTTCGCCAGGCGGTGGTGACGCACGCCTTTAATCCCAGCACTTGGGAGGCAGAGGCAGGCGGATTTCTGAGTTCAAGGCCAGCCTGGTCTACAGAGTGAGTTCCAGGACAGCCCGGACTATAAAGAGAAACCCTGTCTCGAAAAACCAAAAAAAATAAAAATAAAAATGTTCTTCTACTGAGGTGTGGTTGCACACACCTTAAATCTCAGCACTTAGGAGGCAGAGGCAGGTAGATCTCTGTGAGTTTGGGGCGAGCCTGACTTACTTAGGGAATTCAAGAATAGCCAAGGCTATGTAGAGAGATCATGTCTCAAAATCAACCAACCAACCAACCAACCAACCAAGCAAAAATATCTTCTATAGATCTATGTACAGAGAATGTATAAAGAACTTCAAAGCTGGGTGGTGGTGGCGCACGCCTTTAAATCCTAGCACTTGGGAGGCAGAGGCAAGCGGAGTTCTGAGTTCAAGGCCAGCCTGGTCTACAGAGTGAGTTCCAGGACAGCCAGGGCTACACAGAGAAACCCTGTCTCGAAAAACCAAAAAAAAAAAAAAAAGAACTTCAAATTAGGGGGTAGAGAGATGGCTCAGAGGTTTAGAGCACTGGCTGCTCTTCTAGAGGTCCTGAGTTCAATTCCCAGCAACCATATCATGGTTTATTAACCATCCACAATGAGATCTAGTGCCCTCTTCTGGCCTGCAGGCTTACATGCAGACAACTGTATACATAATAAATAAATAAATCTTTAAAAACAAAACAAACAAAAAACTTCAAATCAGAAACAGATAATCCAATCAACAAACAAGAAATAAAAGGTCACTCAGCACTCATGTACCTACTGAGAAGGTGCTGCACTGCAGGTGGTTACAGTCAAGAAGCCACCTCTCCACCTGGAGCTTTGCAGCACATAACAGTTTCTCACACTGCTGATGGCCATGTGGTTGTACCAACTGTCACCACAGCCACTTTTGGCAGTAACTCCTGAGGCTAATATCCACTACAATTCCACTCCTTAGAACACTCCAACAGAAACACACACATCTAGTTCTGCTCCTCCCCAAGTGCAAAAAGTATCCTTGGAAGATTAAGACTAGGGTCAGCCTCAGGGGCCCTGACTGCAGAAGGAACAGGTAGGGTCCATCGACACAGAATGCTGCAGGGCAAGTAAAGGTGTATCTCTCAAGTGTCCAGGGAAGGGTCAAAAGACAAACACTGATTTCCTACAGAAAGTCAAGCATATGCAAAGGAAACAATAGTGAAGAGCTGGACCACATTAGAATGGAGAACAGTTACTGATGGCAGGAAGCAGAGGGGATTTTCATAGGAAGCGTGGTCCTATCCACCACTTGATCCAAGCTCCCCAAGCATAACTGGAGAGCTGGCTGAGGCATACACTTGTGGCCTGTGCAGTCCTCATACATGCTCCAGCGTAAGGACACTGACTCCAGTGGACACACATGCTCATCTGGTCACATTTTTAGCCACCAGAGGATCCTGATTCCAGGAAGCGAATAGTGTAGAACAAGTTTACTCTGTGACACAGACTTGGGTCAGATATGAAGTAACTGTGGACACAAGCATGTCCTACATTTGATGAGGCACTGCAGAGCAGGAAGCCAGCACAACCTGGCAACAGGCTTACCAGCAGGTGAGACAACTCTTGCTGCCTGAAACTCACTGCCCACAACACCCACTAGCTCTGTGTCCCCTTTGCCTGTTCTTTCCAAAAACCTAATGTTGACCAACCACTGATGTAGACTTGAGCTGCCTCAAACCCAAGTGCAAAGCAGAACAAGTAGGACTCACAGCATCCTGAAAGCCTCTTGAGCATGAGGCAATGAGATCTGACCTAATTAACCTAAGACTCCAGGAAGAAAAGACAACTCTCTAGCCACCAAACAAAAACCCTCAGCGCACAACACTAACACCAAATTACTGTTTCTAAAAAGGACATTCAAACATTTAGTCCCATCTCAGAACTGACTTTACAGCTGAGAGCTGCATCAAGGCAGTCATTACTGACTTGCTAACTGATATCTGCAGACACACCAGAGTGCAGATTCCTTGAGCACCATGGAGACACCCATCATGAACGAGTAAAGTGGGGTGTCAGCAGGAATCTAAGCAGTCCCTGCTCCACGTGCCTCTCACCTTGGGCTTCGCTGGCTATACTGCCTTCTCCTTCCTGTACCACTGCCTCTGCATTTAACTCCAAGAGAGGAGGTTCTAGCATACCAGTCCAACTGTGATACTGAAAGCTCAGTAGGCATTTCAAACTCTGAAAGTCTCATCTGCCTGGGAAGAAGAGCCTCAGGATTCAATTTTCAATCTTTTCTCCCCTGAAACAAAGTTTAGTTACAGCTTATGGATGTTCTGGCGAAAGCCTGTATAGACTTTTCCCGTGAAATGAATTTATGAGAACTCATAAATGAGTTCTATTTATCCACAAGATTTCCCTAGGAAGTTGGAACTCCATGAGACAGAAACTAGAGGTAAGATACACAACCCCTGAGATCCACTCCTCACAGGTCCACAGCAGGCAAGGACAAGTCAAGACAGAACGGGAGACTCAACACAGCTCAACTGCTTCAAAGCCCCCTGTCAAAAACACTGAAGTACTTTCCCAAATCTAGGCAGTTTCCCAAAGAAGCATAACAGTGCAACGGTGTGGTCACATGGCTTTGGAGAATACCCATTTATTCCTAAATTGAATTCCTGAGAATTTTATCAGTGCTCAGAAAACACGAGAGCCATCACTTCCCAAGTGGTTACACAAAACAGCTAGATACAGTAACAAGACCATCCTGTAGCCATTTAACAGCAGACACCTTGATTTCAGTTTGATAGGGGCATACCTGTGGAAGTGCAGTGTTGAGCTGCCTCTGCAAAGAATCTCTTTCATGACCAACTTCATGCAATTTCCCCTGGGTTAACGCCAGTGTTTCTTGTGTCTCCCTCAGTGTATCCAGAAGGCGGTCTCGTTCTTCCAGCATGGAAACCATGAGCTGCTCAAAATGCGAATCAGTGTCTGGCTGTGAAGGGGAGCCTGACCCATGGCTCCCACCTCCTCCTGGGGGGCCTTCTGCTTCACTAATGGTCGGCATCACCTCGCACATCATCTTAAAAAAGGAAAGATGCAAAACACAGTCAGTAGGTGCAGAACACAAGTATCCACAAACCTGCAGCTTTCTAAGCACCACCTGTGGCTATTGAGAAAAAGGCTGACAGCCCCATAGCTGTCAGCAGCCCCAAAGCTGTCAGAGCCGATCATCCGCTCTGGCTGCACACTCTGGGAAGCAGCATGCACAGGCAATATAAAGAGCAGATTGTGAGAGAAAGTCCTGGGAACAAGAGGGGCTGGGAAGCTCACCTCCAACCAGTGGGGTCTGTTTAAAATCCACACTTAACAGCTGAAGACAGTGGGTTTCTGCTAACTTATTTTGTTCTCGTCCCCGGGAAGAAAGACTCAAAACAGTCCCTCAACCACAGAAGAAGACTGGAAACTGACAAACACCAGCACTATGGATCCAAGCATCTTCCAGGAATGTGTGCAGTCAGCTCCTGGGAAGGACTACCAGGCTCCCTGGCTTGTGGAGCTGGATATTTAGTGATCAGCGGAAAAAGCAACTGGATTTGCTTTTTAAGGTCTGGACAGAAGTGTTTTGCAAAGGCCTGCTGCTGTGTAACGGTTGGTCAGCCAACCTAACTTACATAAGTCCACAGTCAAAGACGAGAAAAGAACAGAAAGAGAAAATATACCACACTGAGAATCTAGGAAGTCGGGACAACAGGGCTAGGTAAAAAAGAAGGGAAAAGTGAGATGGAACTAGAGATTGCATGCTGTCAGGGCACAGAGTGGGGGATGAAGAGAATGCGCTGCAGGTGCATCTGACCAGGACCCGCTGACCTGGCCTGGCTCAGCTGACCCCAGCCTCACAGCCCCCAACCTCACTGAGTCTGGCCAATCTAGGCTGACTCGGACCGAACTGCTATCAACCCAGTTTGGCCAGGCTAACCGCAACTCTGCTGACCCTGCTGACCTCCGCCGGCTGACTCCACCGACCCGGCCCCGCCGACCCTGGCCCGCCACCCTGCGCGGCCCGCTCCGCCCGCCCTCACCTTGGCCGGCGGGCGCGGTTCCGGGGCTATGCGGCGGCCTTTGGGCGGCGGCCGGCTGCGGGCCGACCCACGCAGCCCCGCGGCTGCGTCCTCGCCCGGCCCCCGGACCCGCCGCCCCGCTCGTCACGAAGGCCGGCCCGCCGCCGCCGGACACTGGCGAGCGCAGAGAACCGGGCCCGGCGCGTCGCCGGCGTCAACGTGCCCGACGTCCGGCGCGTCGGCGCGAGCGTCAGCACCGCCCCCTGCGGGAGAGGCTCGCCGCGGGGCCATGCGCATGCGCCCGGTCCGTGGTAGTGGGCGGGCGGCCCATCCAGAGCTCCAATTGGCTATTGCTCGCTTTAGCTCCGCCCCCACGCCTTCCCCGGCAGGCCAACCCCCTGCCGAGACAGGGCAGCGGGTGGAACCACAGGTAAAGAACTCTGGCAGGTGCGCGCAGGTTTCAGTCCTGCTTCCGTGCTGTCACTCCCCTGCGTGTGTTAACGACACCCAAACCCCGACGTCACCCGAGTACTCGCCCCCCAAAACTCAAGACCTCTGCGGAGTCGTGTCAGGCCACCTGCAGAACCGGAAAGTGCTGACAGGCAGGGCAAAGTACCTCCTGCCTCGCACCTCTAGGCTAGCCTTCAAATGTCAGGGGCAGGAAGATTGCCTCAAGTTAGAGACCCTGACTGTAAAATACAAACAAACGCAACTGCCATCAACCCTGACGACTGAGTTTGAACCCTGGGACCCAGAAGACCTACAGTAGATCCTCGGAACCTGCATAGTCCAGAATGTTGTCCTCTGACCTGCACACATCTATCGTGTGGGTTCATGCATGCATGTACACACATTCACACACACACTAGAGTAAATGTAAAGACGACGACAAAAACAAAATGTAAGGGCTCAGCCACTCTTGCAAGTATGAGAACCTGAATTCCATTCCCAGACCACATAAAAATAAAAAGGCAGCGGGCCTTGGTCCTACATGCCTTTATTCCCAGCACTTGTGAGACAGGCAGATCTCTGAGTTCAAGCTAGCCTGGTCTACATAGTGAGTTTCAGGACAGCCAGGGGTCCATACTGAGACCTTGTTTCAAAACTTTTTTTTCTAAATTAAAGCCAATAAGATAGTCCAGAAGCCAAAACAAAATGTTTGTCAACTGTAACTGAAAAGCCAATAAAAATTTCCAAAGGCCAAGGCAAGAATACTGTCAACTAGTGCAGGCTACATAGAGAACCAGGACAGTCAGGGTTACATGGCCAGATTCCTGTTTCAAGAAGTCAGTAATTAATTACAAAGTAAAGTTACAACTACAACCCAAGCACAATAGTGCCCACCTTAAATCCTAACACTCAGAAAGCAGAGGCGCAGGCAGATCTCTGAGTTTGAGGTTACCCTAGTCTACACAGTGAGACCTTGTCTCAAAAAATAAGTCAGACTGTAAAATAGGAGCAGCAAATTCTCTAAGGGGCTCTCCCAGGACTATCAGTCACCGCACACAAGTCCTCAGTTGCCTTGATCTTAGGTTTGGATTTGAGAAAATGCTCATGTCTCCCCAGAGGTTCCTGCTGATAAAACCGTCTCCTAAGAAACTGGCCCAGGACCAAATGCAGCTCAGCAGGGCATACTCCACATCGGTCCTCTCCCACACTCAGCCCATGTGTGAAGTCCATGGCAGAAAGCTAAAGAAAACAATGCTTCTCCAGCAAAGTTCCACCACGAGCTGAGAAGCGGAGCTGCTGCAGCCAGCAGTACCTGCTTTGCAGGATGTGTGAATGGGAGGTGGAACCGCAGAGAGACTTGGAGGCATGATGGGGCTGACCAAAAGAGATGTCATCCAGCTGGTTCCTAACGCTCAGAGGTTTTCCCGGGCTTTCTGGCTGTGGAAATCCTGGCTCCTGCTGATTGGCACCTATTCCCAAACACCGCAGATCAGCAGAGATGGCTGTGAAGAACAGAAGCTACAAGGCCACTGTCCCTCTGGATCAAAGAGACCGTGGCTGACATTCACAGTGGTTTAGTTTTTTAACCACATGTATTTATCTACGTCTCTGTGTCCGTGTATGTCTGCATATGTATATGTCACAACATGCATGTAGAGGCCAGAGGACAACATGCAGGAAGCGTTTCCCTCTTTCTATCATGTGAGTCCCAAGGATCAAACTTAGGTCATCTGCCTTGGTAGCAAGTGATTTTACCTGCTGAGCCTTCTCACTGGCCTGCATTTTATTTGTTTTAGAGGGCTCTGTGAGACAGGCTACTGTGCAATTCTCTACACATCTGTCTTGACATCCACGTGCTAGGATGAAAGGTGTGTGCTATCATACACGGCGTTACGACAGCCCCCTCTTTTTATTTATCTGTAATTCCTGTCCTTGAGTATTTGTATGGAGTGTGGATATGCACTGGAGCTACCTTTAGTTGCAAGCTGCCACACAGGTGTGGGTAATGGAAACGGGCAAGTCTTCTGCAAGAGTCGCAAGTGCAAGTGCTCTTCACCACTGAGCCATCTCTCCAATCCCATCCAGCCACCACCTTTTTTTTTTTTTTTTTGAGAAGAGGTCTCACATAGCCCAAGCTGGCTACAAAGTAGCAGAAGCTAGCCTGGAACTCCTCCTGGTAAATCTCACAAGCATGTGATGATAACCACTCACCATCACACCTGTCATGTGGCTTCTCATTCCCCAACTGAGGAGGCAGGTCCAATGAGCTACTGAAACAAAAAGGGTGAAGGCCTGCTTGTCTTGAGTCCTCAGGCAGTTCCTTCTGTCTGGGTTAGACTCTGTATTGAAACCTTGCTCAAGGGCAAGCCTGTTCTTCCTTGCTGGGAATGTGGTCTGTTTGGGTTGATCTGGAATGAGTGATAACAAAAATGAATTTTGGGCTAAAGAGGCAACTCAGTAACGGGCTTGCTGGGCAAGGGTGAGGACGTGAGCTTTGTCTCCAGCACCCGCCAAAATCAAAACAAAAGGAAGACAAAATCAAAAACAAAACAAAAAAGCAAACCTGGGTTTGGCCATGCATCTGTGTAATCTCAGCCTGAGGCCATAAAGACACAGGGATCTCTGGAACTAGCTAGCCACACAGAGAACAAGGTGTAAGGCCTTCCTGAGAAAAACACCTATACATGTGTGTCTACACAAATAAAAGTCACATTTGCAGAGCCTCATCCCAAGACCCCTGCACCCTTGCAATCCCACTATCTCCACACCTCCATACATGTTCTTCTAGATACATGGCGCTCAAAGTGGGGGGGGGGGACTGAATACAATGGTTCCACATCAGATAAAGTGTAGAATCCAGGACTTGAACCTAGGTTCTGTAGGTCCACAGCTAATATTATTATTATTATTATTATTATTATTATTATTATTATTATAGGTCCACAGCCAACATTATTATTATTATTTTGAGAGAGAAAGAGAGAGAGAGAGAGAGAGAGAGAGAGAGAGAGAGAGAGGGGGGGGGGGGGAGGGGGGGGGGAGGGGAGGGAGAGGGGGAGGGGAGAGGGAGAGGGAGAGGGAGAGAGAGAGAGAGAGAGAGAGAGAGAAAGAGAGAGAGAGAGACACTATGTAGCCCTGGCTGACCTAGAACTCACTCTGTAGGCCAGGCTGACATCGAACTCACAGAGATCTGCCTGTCTCTGCCTCTCAAATGCTGGGATTAAAGGTGTGTACCACCACACCCAGCTGTGACCAACATTCTTGCTGCTGCATAGTGAGAGTTCTCCAATCCTCACAGCATGGGTAACAGGACCCTCATCATCCCTCAAGGCTCCATGAGTTGACAAAATCCCTACATCCCAGCATAGAGCCAGATGAAGGGAAGACAACAGTTTAGAGGGTGTTCAGCCTGCAACATGGGCCATGCCAACCTCACTTACGTGTGTCTTCATGTTAGAAAAGCAAGCCATCGGGGCTGGAGAGACTGCTCAGAGGTTAAAAGTACCAGCTGTTCCTCTAGAGGACCTGGGTTGGATTCTCAGCACCTACATAGATGCTCCCAACTATCTATAACTCCAGTTCCAGGGGATTTGATTCCCTATTCTGACGTCCAAGCACGCCAGGCACACACGTGGTACATAGACATACATGCAGGCAAAACACCCTACATACTGAATAATTGGTGGAGGTGGTGCTCTCTGTATAGCCTGAGCTGCCTTAGAACTTGCTATGTAGACCAGGGTGGCCTCAAACTTAGAGATCTGCCTGCCTCTGCCTACAGCGTGGTGGGAATAAGGGTATATACCACCATGCCCAGCTAAATAAAAATTTACTTGAGAGAGAGAGAGAGAGAGAGAGAGAGAGAGAGAGAGAGAGAGAGAGAGAGCTGTAGCCTGGTGTAGCATACCTGGTGTGTTCAGCAACAGAACCCTCAAATAAAAGTGCCCCCCTCACAGGGACCAGAGATGTAGCCCAGCCTCTTAGGGGCATCAGCTATCCCAGTTCATAACTTTACCTTGACCCAGGGGCAAGGCTCTCACCTGCACACAATGCCAGTCTCCCCATCCGTCAGATGGAACAATGACACTAGAACCCCACACTGTGGTGCTCATTGTGACATTCAGTGAAGGTGACCTTTGCAGCTAGCTCTGTGCCTGGCCACCTCCCATCTGGTAGTTCTATATGCAAAGGCTGGAGTCAATAGCCTGCTTCTATCTCTCCTCTACTTCTCTTTGCTATGCACTCTTGGGCAAGTTGTTTGGCCCCTCAGCACCTCAAGCTCCTTGTCTGTAGAACAGAGGTGACCATCTCAGATGACTGAGAGAGCTGAGATGGGAAGACGAAGTAAGTGCTTGAGGCCAAAGGTGTCTCCGATGAGCTCCCGGCCAATCCTCCATCCCCAAGTGAGTGAGGATTGATGCCAGTCAGCTAGAATCCTGCTCTCCTTTGCCTCATAGCCTAAGAGTTGGTCCAGGCATCTGCTTCTCACCAATGGGATGAGAGGTAAACTACACAGAGTAGTCTGGAATTCTCTTTCCTGATAAAAGAGAGTAGTGCAAAGTCCCTTGGCTCTACCCTTTCCTCCTTCTTTGAGCCAGGCTCTGGAAGGCTGTT